AAAGTCAGAAAACAAGGTGTCAACTACACAAAGCCAAAATACTCTTAACTTGTAACACAGCTTGTGCAAAATTGTTTTTGCCTGTAATTAACCATCTAGCATTTTTTTTACAGCTTCCTTTAACAATGTTGAAAGAAACAATGTCATGTTAACTCTGCAGCAGCAGCCTAAGCTCTACAAACATATTAATGTCTGCACACTTCATACTAACATGAATTACAGAAGAATAGAACTGCTAATGAGGACATAGCAGGAAAATTGAACCACCTCTCTGTCCGTGTATGAACAGGCTGGAATGTAACGAGGGATAAATGTTCCCACACATTTTTTTGTTACCTTTTTTTCCTTGAATTGTAAACCCGCCAGATTGTCTCCTAGAAATCTTTTCAACAAATTTACAAGGTACAATGATTTTTATTTTCTGTTTTTGGATAAGAGTTATCACACAGAACTCCTCCAGGTTACACAGCTAAGCCAGAAATGCCAAAAGACTGAAAAGACCAATGTCCTATTCGAAGTCTATCATAGTGTTTAACAAATCCCCCAATATTGCAGCCTACCTGGAAGCCCAACTAATTCAAAATATATTTGTGTCTTACCAGTTCAATAATGCACATGCTGTTGCCTGCTTTGAGAGTAGTCAGAGCCTGTTACTAACTACTGACTGATGCTAAAATTTTAAGTGCCATGCAGGAACTTCAGTTCCTAACAGTCAGAAACAGGTTGCTGATGCTGTACACCACAGGGGTTCCTCTTTCAGTCCCCGGACAAGATGCACCCCGTCAATCAGATCCAGAGAGTCAAAGCTTTACAGTGTTAAAGATTCAGATCTGAATTTTGAATCTCAGGCTTCAGCAGGAGCACTGCATTCATTTTTCAATTTCAGTATATTCTGAGAAGATTAAGAACCTTTTCCTTCTAGTTTTTATAGCTATTATAGACTGAAAAGAGCAAAATAGCAGTATGTTTATAGTGTGTAAAACATGTAAACCCTCTCACTGCTAGCGAGTCCAGACACCTATTTGCACACAAAGATCGTTATTCATATCAATTGATACAATTGATATTGTACCAATTAATATTCTCAGGAAAATCACTGCATTTCTAAAATATTTTAGCAGGGCAGGTCCAAAGAAGTTGGCTGGAGCTGAGTTAAATATGGTCTGGCAGCAAATTTGGAAGTATAAATCCCACGTAACATTGTCTCTGATGATTGTGTGTCTCTGATGGCAAAAGATTCTTGTCTTGACATCTCCTTCTTCATAAGGCCAAAATCGTATCGAGGAAATTGCAGTCTTCTACCTTCTCTTGGATCAGAAACAGAACATACTAATCACTACCTTTGCAGTTACCACGGAGTTACATTTGTGAATGTTTTTAATGATGTCTTTCCCAGGGCTTTGGCTAGCTACATGTTAGACACTTGCAGGCCAGGGACTTGCTGCGTGTCATTTAGTAGGCTCAGCAGTCAAAGAGCTCCATGAAATCCTTCTACCATAATAATTTCTTTTAAATTAATCACCATTACAACTTCCCTTTCATCAACTACAAGGTTGTCTTCCTGTTTTATTCTGAGATTATGTAAGAGTATGTTTAACTAAAGTAGAATCAGAATAAGTACTAACTAAGTTTATCTTTCGGCTCCATGCTCCGTACAGCATTATGCTAATTTTTATGGCTCTATTCTATCTGCATCTCTTTACTTACCAATACAGCCACAGAAACACGCTATGACTTCTGAAACGTTTCCTTGGTTCTGGATAGCAAAAGGCTGTCTGGGTAGAAAGCAAAAAAAATAATCATTTCACCTTCAACATAACGTACCATCTTTTCAGGGAGATGCAATAGCTTTGGCAAAGGTTGGGAGACTGGACCTCCTACTTTCCCAAGCCAACAGTCACACGTTATTGCTGCAGCCAAAAGCTCCCCTTGAAGCACAACCCTGCAGCGCTCACAGCACTGATTTCTCATCTTCTCCTCCATTGCCATACCGTGAAATTAAATTGGTTGGAGGTCCCTGGTCTTTTTATGCAACTAGAGGGAGATGCAAGGGGGTCAGCCCACAGAATACAGCGTCCCTGATCCTCAAAAGAGAGGCACATGAAGATCTTCTGAGCATGCACTCTCCTGTCTATTCATATGCTTGATATTCAGCACACACCTGAAACTCACTGCAACAATATAAAGAGAACCAGTCCTGCTAAGTGGCTTTTAAAAAGTTATAGGAAGGTGTTTAATTTCAACAACAACACACCATGAGCTTGTTTTGTAAACAGATTTTCTAAAGAATATAGATTTAAAAAAAAGAAACATTTTGGGGGTGAGAACGGCCAGGATTTCTTCGTTGTTTTGTGCTACTTACTTGATCTATTTCATTAAGTTAACACCTAGGCACATAAATAATTTTCCCCTTTTTTTTTTCCTCATTTTACTGGGAAATTTAGATATTTTTTCTGTGTCATCCCCCCTCCTCCCCAGCATTGATACAGCATTTGCTTTTTATCACTTCTTTGCCTACCTCATGAACTACTCCTGACTATTCAAAATAAACGTTCAAAACACAGTAATAGGAGAATGCCTCAACAACTCCAGAGGCTGAATATCATATATTCATATATGAATTTTCCTATAAGTCTTAACGTACTTTTAGCAAGATCTATTTTACAGCCTTACTACTTCCTAGATTTTTCTCTTAAATGAGAAATAAAGCTCTCCAGGTTTTTATTTCAGTGTCAATTTTTTTCCAGTCTGTACTGATTTTAGATTTTTCTAGAGGTTCAAAGTTCATGTCATAATTCACTTTATTTTCTCTTGTAGTTTCCAGCATTTACCTTTTCTTTAAATGTCAGAGCCTTTCACTTCTGTTACTTTGATTTCCTTGCTGCATCTCTTTTCTCTGCAAGCCCTAACTGATTGTGTATTCGGCTGTGGTCTCCCCATCTTTTTCCACTTCCATTAATATTCTTTAAACCTCATTGTATCTTTGAGCACTTTTTTTTTTTTTTTTGCAAAAAGCCACACTGACCACTTCTTGTTTTTTGTAATCTTCTTTTCAGAGGAACTGCAGCCTGCTGTACGTTGGCCATGAAGTCTCTTCAGTCCCAACTCTCCTTCCATGCAAAAAGATTCCAGTACATCTTGTTGCAGCTCACTGACTTCCTTAATTCCACCAGGTGAATTTACTGAAAACCAGTGCTCTGGCTTGACTGTGAGCATTTATTTCATATCAGGTTGAATTCAAGTAATATTTTGATCCCTTACTCATTATTATCTTGTTTTTCTCTCAATGACATGTTCTCAAGTGTTACTTCAGAAAGGCAACTAAACACAAACATCTGACTTCAGGTTTTAAAGACAAGCAACAAGCTGCTGTAACAGAAGATGAGTAAGAGAACGATGTTACAATAAAGAGATGGCTGAACATGTATTAAATCAGTTGAGATGATAAAACATGTTTTCAATACTTAGGAACAGCTCCGATACAAATGCAGAAAACGCAGACTGGCAAAATTCATAAAGATATCGCATTACTTGGAAAGCAAGAAATTCAACAAAAGCTTATTACTATATTTTTTAATATTTTATTATTATGAAGTGAAATCCTTTACAAATTAAGCTACCTGGATGACTATTTCAGTTAACACTAGCAGCAGAGACTATGACCAGCTTAGAATGGACAACATTTAACAAAACAACATTGTTCCAGGTATTTAACAATTCTCCCCAAAAGCCAATAATGACATATATTTCAAATTCCCAATCAACATGATATTACTACTTACACAAAGTTGTTTTTTTTTTTTTGAGTAAACACATGTGCATCAAACTTTCTTCCATCCCCTCCACCCCCCCGGCAAAAAAGACCACTTTCTTTCTGTTAGTTACTCACTGTTATAGCTTTCTGCATCTTGCATCAAGTCCCAAAATGAAAGCCAGTGTCAAACCTTCCCTGTTGGGAAGATGGTTGCTGACTTTTGTGTAACTACATCTTAATGGCCACAAAACTGTTCTTTCCTTCTTAATCTCTATTCCCCTCCACCCAAATTCAATAACTAATGGTGAAAAGAAAACAGTGGCAGTAGGTCCTGTAAGAGCAAGAAAAGACAAGAGGAGTAAGAAGGAAGCAGCAAAAGCAGTGACATATTGTGCTGCTCCTTACTTCTGGCTATGCGAGGTGATTAACTATTCTACACCAAAGGATATTTTACTTGAGCATTTTTTAAAATAATTTACACTACTCTTATAAAGTGGGAGTGCTTTTCTGGTAATTGCCAATGAAAGAAGAGCTTATTTCAAATGTGAAGGTTATCACCAATATTCCAATAGAAGGGAGAAACAAGACAGGCAGGAACACATTTAACTAAAGAAGAAGCAAGAAAAAAAAAGCCTCCCAAGAAATCAGGCTACGACCACTAAAATTGTAGATGATAACAGAAAAAGAGTGATAATTTTTAAATGCAAGAGAAGCAGTGTCCTTCTCCATATTATATCTGAACACTTACTACTTAAGTGTATGGAGTAATGCTTATTACATATCTCTCACCAGTTTATAGAATTTGAGTCTTCCAGTCACATACATCAGTATCACTCTACATCTAGAAAGTAACACTGATCAACATGAGTAATACCCAAATATAAGGTGATGTTTGCTAAAAATACATTTTGCTGTATTTTTAACAAATGAAACTGAGATTTTAGCATACCATTGAATATTTCTTCATGAAGATAGAGCCAAGAAGAGCGTATGTAAACAAAAGTGGCTTAATCCCCTCCACAGAATGAAATACAGTAGACAGAAAACCATTTATCAAGGTATTTATGACCAGAAGTCTCACTCAGTGGGATACTCCACACCATTACTCAGAGTTGTATTTCACAATTTCTTTTTAAATTATGTATTAATTCTTTTTAAAGTTAAATTCCTTTTGTTTTCTTCAATCTTCCAAGAAACCAAAGAAGAACAGAAACAATGGGTGAAGTTTAAGCAGATTTGCCTTTTGAGTTGCCTGCATTGTGGTGTTGTCTATGTTTTCATCATTGCTGAAGAAGAAGCTTGGAAACAGGTCAGTTGTAAGTGCATGCTGCTTTTAAATTTGTTTAGTAACTCTTCTAGTAACCTGTAAAAGGAAAATACTTACAACATTAGCAGATTCTGAAAAGGAAACAATTACCAAAAGTTTTGGCTATCCTGCCTGTGAATTCAAGTACGTCGTCTGATTAAATAAGGGCCTAAAATGGAATGTACTCAAATCTCGGAATATTATGGGCATTTAAAAGCATACCAATGTGTCAGGATGATCTGTGGTCAGAGAAGGACTTAGCCACAGAGATTTTATCAAGGTGATAAAATAGGCCTTTATACTGCTTTCCTTCCAGATAAAGATCATCTTCTTGAGAGAAATGTATTTGCAAAACACAATGGCAAAATAACTGGCGGAGAATGTCATAAGCCAAATTTGTAAGGAAAACCCAGAAATTGCCAGCCCATGTCCCATAAACCCAGTATCCCTTATCAAGGCTACGGCTTTTTGTCTACAGCTGAATTGCGAATTTCAGTTCTCAAATTTGTCTTTGGAAGGTATTTTGTTGATTTCTCTGAAGATTCATGGCTGAAAGAACAGAGACAGTATGACCGTTCTAGGAGAAACATTAATTCACTGGCAACCATGTGATTTTGTCCTTCATAGATAACGCAGTATGTGTGAGTTCATTTTGGAGCATAACAATGGTTCGTTCACATTTATATAGCTGCCAAGAAGGCACTTGGTGCAGTGGATAATATTTATTCTAATCCACAAACTACAGCTGTAGGACCAAGGGTGTTGATGGCTCTGTTGCAGAAGACAATTATTGTAACAGTGGAGATGCATTATTAAGTTTTACAGTCTTTCCTGCATGTTTTATTTTCCCTGTGTTCTAGGGAAGGATGTGTTCTCTGAACTTTTTACTCTGTTTCAAAACCAAGCTAGATAGGGCAGACATGTAACAACTCAACTTTTTGGCAAGCTGTGATTATTGAACAGCCATTAACAGAAGAAATTATACTGTATGTTACAGAACCCAAACCAACCCAAGAACAACAACCTGAACCACAAAATCAGTATCTGCTTCCTCAGCAGGTCCCCTGGAAGATGAATATAGCCACATTTATCATTTAGTATCATAGTAATAACCAAACAGAAGTGAACAGCTCTAAATTAGTGTACTAATGTGTGCTACTTTACATAAATACATGTAGCTTACAATGAGCTGTCTGTAATAATGACAACTATAGTGTAACGACCTGGGAAACAGAACAAGTTTCGTACTGTCTAGGGCTCAGAACTCTGAGGCAGATGTAAAAATGATGCAGCTCTTGATTCTCATCTGGCCCATGAAGCTCAAATGCTTATGATGAAGTGAAAAAAAAAAAAGTAATCTACAGGTGTTTTGGAAAGTCTGAGTTGAAAGAACTCTCCTTACTCAAAACTGATTCCTATCTTTAAGGAGGTATCTTGAGACTTGTTGTGGCTAGTGAGGAGTGGGTTTGAATAAATAGACAGAGGACATCTGGAAGAAGGCACAGTCCACAGACTATGGGCTGCACAAACAGTCTCATATGTCTACAAAATATTCTAAATTGTGACTGTTGAGGCCGAACTGATTTGATGCAGTTCAATTCCTGAAAGTACCGTAATACCAAAACACCTATACTTTTACTAATATACTCATGACAGATCCATCCTAATTTCACCAAACTGCTCTTTATTAAGCTATGCTTGTAAAACAGACTACCAAAACCAGGTTGGATGCAGCAAAACAGCTTGGTCATCAAAGGTAGGGAAGGAAGAACCCAAAACTCCTCCTCCTCCTGATGCTAAGAAAGAGCCATAGACCCTTCTTATTTGTTTTTAAAAAGAAACAGGCCAGTTTTGAGGGCTCCCCATTTATCAGCTGGCAAAAGCTTGAACTTCTGCTCCTTGGCCATTTTCTCATTGCTGCTAAATTCAATGAGACAAGACAATGGACCCAACCGAAACTTTAAGATTAACATAGAAGACTAAAATAAATGACAAAATAAATACAAAGCTATACTGAACTGATCAGGCTAGGATGGGCAGGACAGATATGCCACAAAGCCACCACCTTTTCTATGTAATTCAATAAGCCAAGGACTTAGCTTACTCCTAACTCTGTCCAAAGAGGCTTCTGCTCTGTAATTCAGAAGGGTCAAATACAGTGGATGTTAACCCTCTAACAACAAAGTTCTGATACAAGAGTAAAAAGCAATGGCTCCAGAGACCAAAAAGGAGACAAGAAGGTGCATTATACTCACTTTTTGTCAGTTCCACTTGAAAGTTGGGGCAAGGCTTCTAAAGCTTGCTTAAAGCTTGAGCTGCAAGGAAAACAAAAATACTCATATTCCACTGGTGCAAGTCTCAGCATTCACAGTTTCTCTCTATAAATTCCATGGAGATATGGTATATTTTACCCATTCCTACTTCAATATATTATTTGCACATTCATGTGCAAATTGAACATAAAGCAGTCATGGGTTCAAGCAGGTCTCTTGAGACTCCTAATGTGATGTATACCAGCTACCAACAGGAAATGTTAAATCAGCAGCTGATTTTACAAGACTGTGCTTGACATCCTGGACTCTTCAAGAATTAGATGCCAGCCTGCCTTCTGCCTCAAACTAGGTGACCATTAGAGTATGACACACAGACAAAACCATTTATTTTGGCTTTTTGTGCTCAATAGGCAGGTCGCTGCATTCTCCCCTACAGAAGGGGGCCTATAGAGAGAATGACAGCAGGTTCCCATTGAGGTAATGTAGATTAATAGAGTAATTCAGGTTGGAAGGGACCTCTGAAGGTCTTCAGGTCTAACCCCCTTCTGTAAGTAGGGCCAACTTTGAGGATAGAGGAGGTTTCTTGGGGCATTATCCACGTTCCAGGTATTTAACAATTCTCCCCAAAAGCCAATAATGACATATATTTCAAATTCCCAATCAACATGATATTACTACTTACACAAAGTTGTTTTTTTTTTTTTTGAGTAAACACATGTGCATCAAACTTAGTATTTCATGTTACAGGACCTGTACACTGTATTTTTAAAGCACGTAACTGAACTGCCAGAAGAGAAAAGTTGACATTCAAAAATTGTTTGAAATTTCAGTGCACTGTTTCTGAAAAGTCTCACTCAAAAAGACTGTAAATACAGAAAGAATACATTATTACTGCCTGATTTAGTTGCGAGTCATTACTTCAGTTATAAAATTAAA